ATTTGCAATTTTGGGTGTTGGGCAAGCTTGAATTGTACCAAACTTTTCATTAACTTCTGTTGAATGGCGTCACTTCTCGTGGGAAACCCGTGGAGTGGAGATTGTTTCATATTGAGCTGTTTATTTCTCTATTTGTTTATTTATGTATTTGTTTAAAAAATGGATTGGTGACATGCATCGCTCATCCAAAAAACCTATATGGGTAGGTGGATTGGTGATCTGACTAAGTGAACCAGTCAATTAAAAATAAAATATAGAGGACAAAATAAAAATTGAAAAAAATAATTAAAAAATAAAAGGTAGTGCTTGATCGGCTCGCTATCTGATAGAATTAGTCGGTTCTCAAAAAATTGACTGGTTTATGATACATGGTGCGAATAGGATTGGTCCCATCGATCCAGATCCAAATCCGACGGTTCTGACCCATATCAACATTTTTTCTGAAACCTTGCTGAAAACTAAAATGTTGCAACTTTAGCATTGATTTTCAAAACCAATATACACGTCTCAATAGCAAGGAAAACTGGTAAAAAAAAGAGATTTAAACTGCATTGGAGCATGTTGTTATTGGAACGCAATACATTAAATGTCTTGAGAAGGGCACATTGTAGTTTCCATTCCCATCACTAACACCACTACACTAACATCTTCAAAAAGCTAACTCCTAATCTACTTGAAAAAACGTGTCTTAGGGGTCTGTCTTCATCATTAAATTACCTAAAGAAAACACATTAAATGTTATTATATAAGATAGATTTCAAACAAGTACTGTGTTATAAAAATTTAAGATAGATTACAAACAAGTACCATGTGCAATAAAATAATTTATCTGGAGTACAATGAAATTTAAGATAGATTACAAACAAGTACCATGTGCAATAAAATAATTTATCTGGAGTACAATGAGGTCACAATCAACCCCATCTATTATATATAAAATTTAACGACTCAGGGTTTATGCCAAAAAAAATTTAAAAATTTATTTTGGACTTTGCGCCTAGTCGACAAGAGACTCCAAGCCACCCGCTCGTAAATGCAACATCCGATAGTAATTTTGTGACTTGTTCTGCTAAAAACAACTATGGAAAAAGTTTATATAGAGCCGAGGTTCTAAACAATCACATTCGAGCTTACCTCAAAAATTTTGCTAAACAAGATTGTTTTGATGCCGAGAAGTCCTCAAATTGATCATCTCGGCATCAAGATGCATGGATATGAGAAAAATTTTTGATTTCAAGTTTTGAAAATAATATATTTTTAGACTGTCAATTTTCAAGAGTTTCAAATTTTCATAGATCTGTCAATCTACATCATTTTTTAATCTTCATACTTTATAAATAAAAATGAAAATATATTTTAAGGCTATCACAAAGATTTATAATGTTGAAACCATATTTCTTGACATTATTTAAAGATAGGCTCTAATTTGATTGTTTAGAGCCTAGGCTCATACAAACCTCCCCCAACAACTAATCTTATGCTATACGCTACCTTTTCAAACAAGTATTTCTACCAAATAAAATGACGGCTACCGATAGAAGTAAAAAATAAAAATAAATAAATAATTTTTAAAAGTTATGATGATCATCATGGTTGAGATTTTTGTTCCTTAAAATTTTAGATACAATATTCATCTCTAAATAAGTGGATTTTGAGACCATCTTAAAGATGGACTTTGGAAGGAGAATGCGTCTCAATAGAGAGACGAGTCAGCTGACTCACCCAGCCTATCCCTAAAATAATTTAGCAATACTAATTTTCTGTGTGATTTGAAATATTGAGTAAAGAGTTCAAATTTTTATTTGAAAAAAAGAAAAAAAAACAAATATTTAGAAGTTTTAATTTAGTGGTCTTGGATTGTGGAGGATCCTACGGAGTATCGTATACTATACTCATGTAATATAATACTCACCTTTCCATTGAAAAATGCATGTACGCATTCACTTTGCTTGGAGTCTAACTTCAAATAAAAGATGATAAAAATATTTAGTGACGTGTATTGTTTCTCTAGTATAGTTATCCCCCAAGTTATCCAAAAGCTCAATATATAATTCCAATAATAAAAAAAGTTTATATAAGGTCGCAACCTTATATTATTGAAATAATGTGCACTTCAAAAATATAGTAGTAAAGAGTATTTCAAAATTAAAAAATTATTCAATTGATTATATATATATATATATATATATATGATAAATTATCCTATAGGACCCCTCCATCCATGTGTGCAGGAACTCAAATAATCACTATTAAATTTGGTATGGATCTATAGAAAAGTCAAATCTCACACCCATATAATAATTTTTTTAGAGATCCATGCTATTTTTAATGGTGATCATTTAGGATCTTGCACATATGGGTGAAAAATAGTCTTATAGGATAATTACACATATATATAAATAAATAAATAAATAAATAAATAAAGTAAGAGTATAAGTTTTTATAGGGTGTGGTTTGTATAAGGCCGAGGCCCTAAACAATAAAAGTAATATACATCTTCAAATAGTATTGAAAGATGTTTTAGTAATGGAAGTCTTTGTGACAACCTCAAAATTTATTTTTATTTCAAGTTATAAAATTTAAAGCTTAAAAAATATTGTAGATTGAGCCGATTTATGAATAATTTAAAATCTTTAAAATTGATGGTTTAGATAATACATTACAATATGCACTATTTCCATGGCTTGACATCTATTTTTTCTTATCTCCATACATCTTGAAGTCGAGATGATCGATTTGAGGAATTTTGTGCATCGAAACAACCTTTTTAGTGAATTTTTAAGGTGAGTCTTAATTTGATTGTTTAGGGCCTCACCCTTATATAACCTTTTTATGTTTTTATAATTTAAGCATTTGAAAATGACAATTATTGTCCTCATCAATCATTCGAGAAGGACATTGTTTAGGAGATATGGAGATTATGTTTCTTCAAAAAATTATAAAAAATGATGTTTTTAAATTTTTTTTTATTTGTTAGTAATGGGTAAAATATTTATCCCACAAAGGCATAAACAACCAGAAGAAAAGCAAAAAGACTACTACCTCATACTAACACCCAAGTGTGCAACATTTGATTGATGTTTCTAAAGACATACCTCTAGATCTCTCAATGTAAAAAGACAAAAATATTCTACCAATTTGAAAATAACCACACGTTTTAGAAAAATAGTAATAATAAAATAAAATAAAATGCATCTTAATTTTAATCTCATTTTTCAAATGAATTCCAAAATTGTGAATTTTATCTCTATAAATCACTTATTGATATATGCCTCCACATACATAATTTATGTATTTAACAATATACGTCCGTTCAATCATAATCAAACAACTGAAAACGAGTTAAAAAAATTGTAACTCCAATTAGCGAAAATAGTTGGCACTGATATGTGTCGCTTTTGTCGGTTTATGCCTAGTTGTTCGATTAAGATTAGACCGCTTCAAGGTTTCATGCACATCATTAGTTGATGTCATTGTTGTTAGCTTACTTTCAACCATTCGATCAAAAATTAGATCGCGGTGATTTTCATACTATGTAGGGCAAAACATTAAAAAAAATTTCCCAAAAAATAAAAAAGGGTCCATGAAATTAGAACTATTAGCTTATGAGAAATACATAGGAGTATTAACTGACATTAGCAGTTTTAATGGGGACCATAACATTATAAAATCGATATCACCTCGGTATAGTTATATGATTTATTAATAGGAAAAATATTTTCCGCTTTATTGATAATATTTTCATCTTTAAATAATGTTTTGCTCATTTGAAAACATAAAAAAAGCCCTTTCGGGATGAGAGAGAGTTCCCTTTTAAGTTCTAGAGAGAGAGAGAAAGAACCCATGAAACGCCCTTTTTAGAGTGAGAGGAGAGTGAGGAGAGAGACCCATTTTGAGAGAGGACCGGGCGAGTGTCCCGTTTAGAGAGAGAATGCGAGGAGAAGCGAGAGGGACCTTATAGAGAGAGAAAGAGAGGAGAGGGGTCCCTTTTAGAGAGAGAGAGAGGAGAGGGTCCTTTAGAGAGAGAGAGAGAGAGGAGGACGGGTTCCTTTAGAGAGAGAAGAGAGAGGA